TCAAAGCTGAAGAGGCAGGTTCGGAGGAATTCAAGCAGTTGGTGGCGGGGAACCGGCTCTATGGATGGGACTATGAGAAGCTGCAAGGAGGCTATCCTTGGTCTCAGTGCTATGGAGGCTTCCAGTTTGGGCAGTGGGCCGGTCAGTTGGGAGACGGGAGAGTTATTTCGTTGTTCGAGGCCACAAACCCTGCCACAAAACAAAGATTCGAGTTGCAGCTCAAGGGTGCTGGAATGACACCCTACTCTCGCTTTGCGGATGGCAAAGCTGTCTTGAGATCCAGCATTCGAGAGTTTGTTGTCTCAGAAGCTCTCAACGCACTCAAGATCCCGACTACCAGAGCGCTTTCTCTTACATTATTGCCACATTCAAAGGTTGCCCGGGAGAGGATCGAGCCTGGAGCGATTGTGCTACGTTATGCCCCTTCATGGTTACGGCTGGGAAGCTTCGATCTCCTCCGAGCCCGGGGTGATCGTGCCCTAATCCGAAAGTTATCGACTTACATCGCAGAGGATGTTTTCGGCGGCTGGGAAGCTTTGCCTGGCCGATTGGACAACCCAGACAACCCCACGGAATCACCACCACCGACGAGAGGAGTCCCAGCGTCTGAGAATCAAGGTCTTAATGATGGAACTGAGAATAGATTCGCCAGGCTTTACAGAGAGATTGTAAGACGGAATGCCGTGACGGTCGCAAACTGGCAAGCCTATGGCTTTATGAATGGAGTATTGGTATGTATAGCCTCAAGGATGATAAAAAGAGAAACCGAAGCTCATGCGTTGCCAGAACACCGACAATACTTCTGTGTACGGATTATCCATTGACTACGGTCCATTTGCATTTATGGACAATTTCGATCCTTCGTACACTCCTAACCATGACGACTACAATCTCCGGTACAGTTACAAGAACCAGCCCACCATTATCTGGTGGAACCTCGTCAGACTTGGTGAAGCTTTAGGCGAGCTCCTCGGGGCCGGATCTCTCGTCGACGACCCAACTTTCGAGGCGAAAGGCGTCAAGGAGGACCAGGAGAAGGAAATAGTTGCCCGCGCAGAAAAGCTCATCACACAAGCTGGCGAAGAGTTCAAATCTGTCTTCTTAGCCGAGTACAAGAGGCTCATGTCAGCCCGACTTGGACTTCGCCAACACAAGGAATCGGACTTTGACAATCTGTTCAGCGAGGCCCTCGATACTATGGAGGGTCTGGAATTGGACTTCACTCATTTCTTCCGCCGCTTGAGCAATATCAGACTTGATGAGATTGCGACCCCAGACGCCAGGAAGGCAAAGGCCTCGGTATTTTTCCACAGCGAAGGCCCACCCAAGCTTGTTAGCGAAAACGAGGCCCGGGAGAAGGTAGCCGCTTGGCTGGATTCATGGAGAAGCCGTATTATTGAGGATTGGGTAACGGACACTACTGATGCGGAAGCCCAAGATGCCAAGAGAATCGAAGCGATGAGGCAGGTTAATCCCAATTTTATTCCCCGTGGATGGATTCTCGACGAATTGATTCGACGGGTTGAGAGCGATGGAGAGAGAGATGTGCTCAATCGTATTATGCACATGGCATTGCACCCATTTGAGGATAAATGGGATGGAGAGTCATTCGACGGAACACAATGGAAGGGCGATCTGGAGGAGGAAAAGAGATGGACGGGTGATGTGCCCAGATTTGAGCGAGCGATGCAGTGTAGCTGTAGCTCCTAGGGAGCTTTCCAGCCAGGACAACTGAATGTAGTATAAGGTAGCCATCATTGAAAAGATTCCGCCACGATTCAGTTCATCACATCACATCACATTCACAGCGTTAGATATCCAGGAGATGTCACGACCGACTGTTACGAGCATCGCTCATAGAGCAATTAAATCTCTCCCATGCTTTAAAATAAATCGGCGCAAATTACTCTGGAGCACAAGATAGAGGAAGACTCGACTGAGACGACCGGTCAAGACCGGTGTTCAAGCTCACCTACAATAAAGTGTGCCCGTGTACAATATGGAGAGAAAGAGGAAAAGGGAAAAAGCTAGCGACAAATTCCGGAGTAAGTATTTGCATCGGTAAGGCCTGAGGCACCAACGCTTCCGAGCTCTGGCCAATCACAGGTCATGTAAATTAATCGAGCAGCCAAAAGTTACTAAGCACCACCAAATCCCATCACCCGAGAGCCAAACTGCTCGAAGATCCCTCGTTTGATACGTCAACGAACCCATCCCTTCACCCCGCGTCCAGCGTCGTCTTGCACCTACATCTCCGTCAAGACGACACGATGCTCCGACAGTCTCTGGCACGTTCGGCTTGGCGGACCGGCCGGCGGGCCGCCACCGTGTCCCGTACATTTGCGACCACATCCCAGCGCCCTGCCGAGGTGGAGTTAACAATTGGTGAGCATTCATTGTCCATTGAGCCATTGGATGATAGATATTGACTAATTGACTCGCAGATGGAAAGAAGGTATCAATCGAAGGTACGGAGTACTGCTTGCGTGGGCGCTTTAGGCCTCACTGACTGACGCGATTTAGCTGGTGCCGCCCTCATCCAGGCTTGCGAAAAAGCCGGTGCCACAGTTCCTCGGTATGTCGAGAAAGATATATTCCAATTCAAATCTCTAGCTAACAGGCATATCACAGATACTGCTACCATGAGTATGCCCTCCCTGCTTCCGCCGTACCCATCGAACCGAACTGACAAATCCGAAGGAAATTAGCAATTGCCGGTAACTGCCGCATGTGCTTGGTTGAGGTCGAACGTGCTCCCAAGCCTGTTGCTTCTTGTGCCTGGCCTGTGCAGCCTGGCATGGTCGTCAAGACCAACTCTCCTCTCACTCACAAAGCCCGTGAAGGTGTCATGGAGTTCCTCCTCGCCAACCACCCTCTCGACTGCCCCATCTGCGACCAGGGTGGTGAGTGCGATCTCCAGGAGCAGTCATTACGATACGGTGCCGACCGAGGACGATTCCACGAGACCGGCGGAAAGCGTGCTGTTGAAGACAAGAACATTGGCCCTCTGATCAAGACATCCATGAACCGATGCATCCACTGCACCCGGTGTATTCGATTTGCAAACGATATTGCTGGCGCCCCTGAGCTTGGTTCAACTGGCCGTGGCAATGACATCCAGATTGGCACCTACCTCGAGAAGAACCTTGACAGTGAGCTTTCCGGAAACGTCATTGACCTCTGCCCTGTTGGTGCCCTCACCTCCAAGCCCTACGCATTCCGCGCTCGCCCCTGGGAGCTGAAGCACACCGAATCTATCGATGTTCTGGACGGTCTTGGCTCAAACATCCGTGTGGACTCTCGTGGCCTTGAGGTCATGCGTGTTCTTCCCCGCCTCAATGACGATGTTAACGAGGAATGGATTAACGACAAGACCCGGTTTGCTTGTGATGGTCTCAAGACACAACGACTTACCATGCCTCTGGTTCGACGTGATGGCAAGTTTGAGCCTGCTGACTGGGAGGAGGCCCTGACTATAGTCTCTCGGGTCTTCCAAGAAAAGAAGCCACAGGGCAACGAGTTCAAAGTCATCGCCGGTGCCCTGACCGAGGTCGAGTCTCTGGTTGTGGCCAAGGACTTGGCCAACAAGCTTGGATCTGAGAATCTTGCTCTTGATACCCCCACTGGCAGCCAGCCCCTCGCTCACGGTGTCGACATTCGCTCAAACTACCTGTTCAACTCCAAAATCGCCGGTATTGAAGAGGCTGATGCCATCCTCCTGGTTGGTACCAACCCTCGTCATGAGGCCGCTGTTCTTAACGCTCGTATCCGCAAGCAATGGCTCCGATCTGATCTCGAGATTGGTGTTGTCGGCGAGTCGTGGGAGTCCACCTTCGACTTTGAGCATCTCGGTACCGACCACGCCGCTCTGAAGAAGGCTCTTGCTGGACCCTTCGGCAAGAAGCTCCAGGCTGCTAAGCGACCCATGATCGTTCTTGGATCTGGTGTGACCGACCACGTTGACGCCAAGGCCTTTTACGAGACCGTTGGTACCTTCGCGGACAAGCACGCTGCCAACTTCAGGACTGAGGAGTGGGACGGTTTCAACATCCTCCAGCGCGAGGCTTCTCGTGCCGGTGCTTTCGAGGTCGGTTTCGTGACTCCTTCTGCTGCCGTTGCTGAGACCACCCCTAAGTTTGTCTGGCTCCTCGGTGCCGATGAGATCAACGAGGCCGACATTCCCAAGGATGCTTTCGTTGTTTACCAGGGTCACCACGGTGACCGCGGTGCTCAAATCGCCGACATCGTCCTCCCTGGTGCTGCCTACACTGAGAAGGCTGGTACCTACATTAACACGGAAGGCCGCGTCCAGATGACCCGTGCTGCTACTTCCCTACCCGGTGCTGCCCGCACTGACTGGAAGATCCTCCGAGCCGCCGGTGAATTCCTCGGCGTCAAGCTACCTTACGACGATGTGGCTGCTGTCCGTGACCGCATGGCGGAGATCAGCCCGGCTCTGGCTGCCTACGATATCGTTGAGCCCGTCGCCCTGAGGAACTTGAGCAAGGTCCAACTCGTTGACCAGAACAAGGGAGCCAAGGCTACGGGAGAGCCCCTCAAGAAGACCATTGAGTCATTCTTTTTCACAGACGTCATTTCCAGAAGGTCAGTTAATAACTCCACTTCCTCTATTTCTTCCAACGATTAATTACTAACTATGAGAATAGCTCGCCGACGATGGCACGGTGTGCGGCAGCAAAGGAGACCGGAGACCCCAGGACGAACCTGATGGCTCCTGGTATCGAGGAGGATAGGCCTCAAGGCCAGGTTGAGTATGGAGCATGAGGTTGAGGCACAAAAACTGTTATAAGAAGAATATTACTTTCCTTGTCGATTCTGGGCTGTTCGTCTCGCTTGTACATATAGGATGTCGGGCTAGAGGTATAGGTGCATTAAAGAAATTTTCCATAATATGTCTACGAGCCGATCAGGCGTGCCATTCCAAATTCCAAATTCTCTTTGCGTGAAAAAGGTCATTACTAGTTGCGCCACCCCCCCCTTCAAAAATCTAAATCCATCCGATCCGTGTCCTGCCGCCGTGTCCCCCTGCCCATCTCGTCCTTGATCTGTTGCTTGACCTCCTCCACCTTGGCCTTGTACGATTCAATATCGCATAGCCCCTGGCTGATGACGGACTGGATCTGCGCCACGGCCGTCTCCCTCGCGTTCCTCTTGGGCAGCACGTTCATGTTGGGCTGCTCGAAGATGTCGTTCTGCATGAGCACCCGGTCCCGGGACCTGGCGCGGTCCTCGCCGGCGTCCCGCCTCATGTTGGCGATCATGTCGTCGACCTCCTGCTGGGACACGAGGGGCGCCAGGTGCAGCGTGTCCTCCCCCTCGGCGGCGTCCTGCGCCCCCGCCTCCTGGATGATGCGGAGGCACTCGCGCCGGAAGAGGCTGAGGAGGTTGGCGCGGACCTCGTCGGCGTGGGCCTCGACCTCCCGGAGCCTGGCCTTGAGCAGGTCGGTGGGGTCGGTGGGTGGTGCGAATGGGGCGAGGAGGTCCTCGTCTATCCGGGTGAAGATGGCTGGTGCGATGCTGTGGAGGATGGGGATCGTTGAGACTTGTTGTTGCTGGGCCTGGGGCTGTGGCTGTTGAGTTTGTGGTTGTGGTGGTGCCTTGCCTTGGTGAGCCATGTTGGTAGGTGGTATCTTGGCTATGTTTTTTTTTTAATACCTTGGATGTCCCTGTCTTTTGCACTTAGGGAACTGTGAAGTGAAGGAAAGTTCAATTGGCGTATCTTGTTTAGTGGGGATATCACTGGTATGTCTAGAAGTTGATTGTTGCGAAGGATGATGTTGCTTTTTTGCCTTCAGTTGAGGTTGTACTGTTGTTACCTACCTTGTTAGAACGGTACGGCTGGTGGTCGTTCTACGGCACCACTTCACCTCATGTACCGATGCATAGGGTTCCCAGTTTCATTCTGGCAAATAACTCATGCCATGATTTTTTTTATCACAATGAGTACAGTGAGCATCTATATTAATTTAGATTCATTGAGTTCGCTATGTAATGTTTATATACGTTGATGTAACATGCCTATTGACATTGCCCCCTCTTAAGATGCAATAAAAATGCTGGTTGGGCTTGATACATAGTGATATTATCGGCCACCCTCGGACGTATGGCATAAACCCTTTCCAAAAAGTGGCAGACAAAATCGAATACAGGTTGAGTAATGATTAATGAGTGATAAAAACCGTGTCGTTAATTCTGACACCCGTCTCGAGCGCCAGATTGTTGATCATAAATATATGGCGTCATTATTGCTAGATGACAGGATCATCTACGGTTGAAACGGGCGGATGGCTGGTACTGGAATCCGGAAGTGTTGGCCATCTCCGATGTTGTCGGACTGCTCTGAATCTTCCAGAAAGCTCTCGTGCGGGTTCCAATGTGAGAAACACACAATGAACTCTTGCCCTGGCTGTCGAGAGGTGGCAAATTGTTCAAAATCACATCAAATCTGCAGGCAAGGTTTTGTTCCAGTACCAAGGGCTTCATCGTCACCTCGAAGGGAGGATGTTTCGCACATACTCCCGGATGAGTGTTAATGCTGCTCTGACCAAATCCTCAAGTCGTCTGTCCTTGCGTTTCCGCATCCATAGTAAAACCAACCCAAGGACGAAGCAATCGATGACAAGGTGCTTCAATACTGCCCAGGACAGCCATTCTATCCACGCCGGAAAGCTGCGTTGTTTCTTGGACCTCCATTCCCTTCCTGCGGTAATCTGCTCTCGTAATGCAGCAACCTCTGCGGACAGATTCGTAATCGCTCGCTCGACAGTTCGCTGCCACCGGTTGCTACTTCTGGCAATGGCGTGTCCTGCATCCTCATCGTCCTCGTCGTCCATCTCCATGAGCTTTTGTGATCGCCTCTCGGCCTCATCCAGTTCGCTCATGGGGTTCAAGACCCTCATGGGCGCGTCACCATCGTTTAGCGGTTCCTCGAATCGTCGCGACGTGCTGCTGCCTTTGGGGGACCCATCAGATGCAGTGGGAGAGTTGTGTTTGATCTGGTTCCAGACGAATTCCAGCTCCGTTACGAGTTCCCTGGCGTCCCTGTACACCCAATGCCTAGTTAGCCATCGACCAATCCGAGCTCAGGGGGGCAAGGGGAAGTGTCGTACGGTGTAGTTGCGTAGCGATGCATAGTGTCAATCAGCGCCTCCACATATCTGCGTTTCGACTCTGTCCGGCTTAAGCCTCTTTGTGAATTCCACGCATCCCATTTATCTTTCTCTTTTTGCAAATCTTCCATCGAGGCGCCGGGCATTGACCAGGGTCGCTCCATCACACCATCAACATCGCCCTCCATAGCTTGTTTGTAGAGGCCATAGAGGCGAAGGCGGTCGGCAGGCGGTGGACGTGACGCGCCTGTTTTGGGAATCTTTTTGACGGTGTTTAACGCATGGACGAAGACCCGATCTAAGCAATTGTTAGCAAACTGATAAGGAAGGACACTCCTTATTCTAGGATGCACTTACCTACGGAGTCCGCCATCGTGATTGTGAGCTGGATCTGAAGATAACCGAGGGGAGGAATATGATGCTATTGTGCCAAGGCTGGCTCAGAGGAAGGGTGCTTGGGTTGGAGAGACGACAGGGACCGAGTTCGGGCAACGCCCCGCGGGTCAATGATGGAGATAACGACAGGCTAGTATATGCTCGGCAAGCAATCCAGAGCAGGCAGCTTGGCTGGTTGGAATACCGGCATTTGCTGTCGAGGCTCCTTGAGATCGATTGGATCGAGACAGTTCCGACTCTAGGTCTGTAGAAAATCAGGATAATTATGCTGAGAAAAACATGGGCAATCAGATGGGATGGGATGGGTGGTAAACTGCAACCAGGCAGGCGATGTGCCTCGGCGCAAATAAGAGATGCGACACAACTCGGATAAAGGGCCAGGAGCAAGGCACCCGCACACACATCGAACTACAGGCGGTGGGGGCCCACACTCCCGCCCTGTCGGACCCCACCAAGTGGGCGTCAGAATAACAGGGACTGCAAATGTGTGTTAATCCCAACTTTCCAATACAGGCCACGATCTTGATAGACAACAGTTAATAATAATAGTACTTGATTATTGAGCACTGATTAGGCAATATTATCTGCTTACTATTACACAATAGGAAACATCATTTTGCGACTGACTGCCACAATAATTCTGCAGAAGTGACTTTGCTGTCCCTGTTTTTCTGACAGCCACTTGCCCACGTCATCTGCGGGCAGCTTCTGTAACGATCGTCCTGTAGCGACGCTTCAGCAGGCCGGTACCTTTTCTCGGGCGCCACCACTTCCAGCCGTTTCCTTCCTGGATTCCGATGGTATGCTGGAAACTGGTACCTGGAAACTGGTACCTCTGGATCCATCTTCCCACACCCATCCACTATCTATCAATTCTGTCTTGCTCTCGGTGTCAGTCGCCTCTTCATGGCCAAGCACAGAGGCTAAAATGAGGTTCATGCATCAAATTTCGCACACTACGGCTGCCATTATGCAGGTCAGCGCCTCATGCAGTCTTTTATTTAACTATATCCTGCATGTCCTCCCACTCCTGACCTTCTTTCTCGGTGACACGTGAAGGGATTCGCCCCTTCTGAGTAGGTAGACACCTGCTACTAATTTGGTGAATGTCTGACCTATGTTTGGCCTGACGCCTTGTAGCAAATAGCTACCATCTTCCAGCGTGAATTGCTAAAACCGTACTGACCAACCACCCAAATGAGCCAGGCAATATCTTTCACAAACTGTGGGCAGGTATCCCAAGTCGTTTACTAAATTTATCCCACACACGCTCTCCCCTGTATAAGGAGTATGGTTGAAATCTGGGGTGCATTGCCGAGGCCCACCTCACTCCTTCTCTAGCCGTCTATGACAAAGTGCCCAAATGATAGATCACAGACATGGGAGAGGGGCTTCATCGGATTGAAGCAGAAACTAACAGTGTAGCAGGCCAATAAAGAAAATAGGGCCAAATTAGTCGAAGATGAAAAGTATTACTTATACAAATAAGATATAGGTCTGATATCCTTATCACGAAGGAGGGTCTGGTTGCGCCTGCGCTTGAGCCTCCATAAATGCCTTCCTCTTCTGCTCGTACACCTTCATGAGTTTTTTGTTCTCCAGTGCCACTATGGCGGCTTTGTTGCCAGCTTCCTTCTTTCCTGTGGCGGTCCCTATTCCCAGCAGCTTGTGCTGTTCCCCCCAGCCAGTTAGATAAACGCCAATAGCAAATATCGGAATGTTCAACTGCTTATGTTTCTTATGGGTTGGCATGTCTTCATAGCGGATCTCTACACCCTTAGCGCCTAGCAGCTGGGCCAACTTTTGTTTTGGTTCCGTAGTTATCGGTGGTGCTGTGACTTCTGATTTGGCTATTTGGTCCTTAATCGTCCTCGAGAACAGTCCTCTCAGCCAGCTGGACGCTTGCATCACACCATCCTGAGGATTTGTGATAATGATCGCAGCAACATAAGCCTCAAACATATCGGCCTGAACTTTCACCAAGTCTTTGTCCGCAGATCTACCTTTGCCAGGCTGCAGGTTGGACTGGACGGAGTGTGGTATTTGAGCTCGTTGCATTAGGTTGTAGCTTCTGAAGTATTCGGCAAGAGTCATATTGCGGATCAGCTGCTCTCGTATTTGAGAGCACTTTCCCACCGACAAATTTGGAAAGCTTTGATAGATGAGGTTTGAGGCGATGGCTTCGAGGTAGGCATCGCCAAGCCACTCTAATCGCTCATAACTTAACTCGCCCCTGGAGATATTTACCATTCCAGGGTGTCGGAATGACTGACTCTCAATTCGGTAATCATTAATTCTGGGGAGTGGTGGCAGCTGGGACGGTATCTCAGAGGCGTGCCAGGCTGCTAGAAGTGGAGGGGGACAGGCCACCACGCTTCCTGCCTCTGCTTGAGACTTTTTGACCGAGCTTTCAGCATCAGAAACAGTCTAGGATGAGGAAGTTTAATAATACGCAATATCATCTGGTTGGATATTGCACATACCTTTACTTCGCTATGGTGAGCATCTTCTGAAGGGTCCAGCTGTTGAAAAACAGGGCTTAACTTTCTGCTAAGCTCAGCAAGTTGGTCTCTCACTCGAATGAAAGAGGGATTTGCTTTAATTTGACCAGTTTTCTGAGAAATGTCGTCTTTCCACTCCGCTAAGGACTGTAGGCAATGTGTAAGCTCCTCGGAATTTTCAATTAGCTGGAGGAGCGCTCCAGTGTCATCGACAGAGGTTCGAAGTCGTTTGCTTGATTGGATGCGAGACTCTGGCAAATTTCGTTTGGTCATATTGACCATGTGTTACAGAATGGAAATTCAAGATATGAAAAATAATAAGCAAAACAAGATTAGGAGATTCGGCCGTGAATTATTATCATGTTTCTTCACTGCTTGATGGAAAAACCAAGTCCAAGTTGGCAACGATAAGCAGAGATACGCCACATGCGGCTTGGCCACCAACTCCCCACTTTTCGCGCTTTCCCGCCAACCAGGCGCCGGACCAACGCCGTGATCTCAATTTTGAGCTTCAAGCTCCATTGTCCAGCATATATTCAAAATATATGTGCTGTCCAAGATCTCACCATGAGCGTCCCGCGGGCCAGACTATTAGATTTGATGAAGGCATGGCTTCTATTTCCCCTACAGAATTGTCCTCCAGCTAACCAATTGCAGGCTCAATGCCAGGTCTTCGCAACGAACTTCAACCCTAATGGCGTTCGCATGGGCAACAAGGTCCTGCGCCAGCGACTCCGAGGACCTGCACTTGCCGCATACTACCCGAGGAGAGTGGCTACAATCAAGGATGTGAGGGAAGAGTTTGGCCCTGGCTTGGATACATGGGAGGACGCCGAGGAGGATCGATTTGAGTACATTGATGAGTATGACAATTCCAGTCCTGAGGCGACTTGGCTGCGGGCTGACACTGAGACCCCAGATTGAAGGAGCGTGGAAAGGGTGCCCCCAAAAAGAAGTCGGCTCCTCCTACGAGTACGAACCATGACCCCATTCACCGATTCTTGTTGGATACACAGGCTAACAATACATAGCGAAACCGGGCGCTGGAGGCAAGAGGCGATAAGCCAGGATTTCCTGTCACGAATTGGGAAAAAATTAGAGGTCATCATGCAACATGCGATGATACCCGATATGTACGATATGGGAATGTATTTCTGGGCGTTGGGAAGACTCGATCGCCAGGAGGCACACATTGCATGCGATTATATATGCACGTTATGGCATTGCTGTATCAATATTTGTTATACCAACCACCACTACCTAGGGCCCCAAAAAGCAGTGATTCATGGAGAGTTGATGGCCTTGCATCCAGTGACTAACCGCGTTCAAGTCGAACGAGAGCTGGATCCTTAACTCCCTTTGTTCATATCTGTAACAAAGACTAGTACCGGGAACAGGTACCATTAGTGGCTCGCTTGAGGCAGAAAAGATCAATGAGATACGTTGAACGATGTAGCTGGGGCGTTACTGGGCTAGGTGCCTGAGGTGAGTGGTGTTGGCCTGAGCGGTGACCTTGCGGTGACCTCGAGGTGAGTGGCATGCTTCCATACCTGCCGCGTGAAAGACTTAGAGAGTATGGCAAGAAGGTGCAATTTTGGAGATTGACCTAAAGATAAAAATCGAGTCCATGATGCAGTGAGCACGGGATGAGGATACCAAGGCCCATTGTGCTGCTGGTCATGCCTATTGGCACCGCTGGCTTCGCCTACAGCAATAAACCTTCCTGGGTTATTGTGCGCACGCAGGCGTATTCCACACCGTTTTCTCAGGTGCCTTTCTCTAAAACCTCCGCCTGACCTTCCCTCCAAAACTTTCCTTCAACTTCCAAACTCACCAAGCCTGTTTCTTCCCTCCCACAGCACCGCCACTCTCTCTTTCTCCCCTCTACCTTGCACAACGATCCTCATTCAAGCCTTTCCTTTCATCTTGCCTTTTCCAGCTTCTGCTGTAGTAACCTGTCGATATTCTCCTAATTCCAGGATCTTGCTTTCCCTTTCTTGTCAACTCACTCTCTTCATCTGGTCCTGCTTGCTCTGTTCCAGCTCTGGCCCAAGACTTCGAGTTTGTATTTTCTTCCGAGCCATTTTCCTCTTCTATTTCACACCCGCTTTCTGGCCCAATTCTAATCAACCACTTTCGTTTGATCTAATAGACTGTTGTGTACGATCTCGAACATCTAATCACCTTCCTCGCCATCTCGTCCTGGTACAGTTGGCGCTTCGTCACTTCGTTTTCTCCTCGACCGGATGTCGACCCTGAATTCTTCGTTAGGTTCAGCCTCCATGTCGCTGAGATCTTTCTCCGGCTCATCGCAGCGCCACGAGCAAGATCCAACAAATGCTGGAGATGCTCCCCAAATGTCAACTTCGAATGTGGTAAGCCCCTTTGACCTTCGATTCTTCTAGCATCCCTTCACTAGATCGCCCTGCTCTCTAAATATCTGCTGCATTAAAACAGTTAACACTGTCTCTCTGAATTTTCAAAACGTTGACACCCATTTCTAGAAGAGTAGTGATCCAGCTCCCGATGTCGCAAAGAAGGGCATATCGCCACTGACCACAGGAAAGCTCGTCAACAAAAACCCTATCAAGGCAAGTGACACAAAGCCCCGTCCATTTGCATATATATTCTAATCTTCTCTAGATGAAACACTCGCCCTCAGTCTCAGACGAATCATACCCCATGGACAAGCTTATCGCTAAGTTGTCTGAACAGCAAGCGGTTTTGAACAAGCAAAATGAAGCCCTTCGATCTGGGGAGGATGATCCGTACAACTCGAGGGTGCAGGGCCATACCTCGTCGAGCACGCCCCTCCCCATCACACCAGCAACGGATGCCTTTTCGTCCACTGCACCTACCACTAGACCTGCAAGTGCTACATTCGAGGATAACCGTCAAGACACTGATGAAATCCTTCGTCTGAAGTTGCAACTCGCTCAAGCACAGACTAAAATCTCCCGGCTCGACCAGGAGTTAGTTCAAACCCGGACGGGCAAGCCAGGCACCTCCCCTACGGGCGAGTTTCCTTCGCGGAGCTACATACCAACTGTCCGAGAGAGCATTTGGGCATCGCCTGATGACACGCAGTCAGATACCAGTGAATGCCTTCCAGTTGGTCCGTTCAGCCGACAGAGAGCTATTTGGAATAATCCAAGGGCTCCTCCTGCCGTTGCCAATGCAGCTCAACCATCGGCTATTGAGCCTTCCCCAGGAAACTGGTTCGGGGGTCGAGGGTTTCAAACCAGTTTTGCAGATTCTGCTGGCCCATATTCCCAGACAGAGAGCTGCAATGGTGATCGCCTCACACCGGATTCAGATGTTCATGGTCGCCCACCAGCAGGCCGCCGAGGAAATCGATATGAAGGCAGGATCAACTCACCTCATCATTTCAATAGCTCCTACGGTGGTGCTTTTAATGGGCTAGCAAACCAGCAGGATGCCATGATGGGGGGCCACATCCAAAACACCATTATTCCGGGGCCTCACCTTGGGCCTGGCCAAGTGATGAGCCCAGTTGGAATTCCACCTTATGCTCAACAGCCCCAGCAGCCCGTGGGTACTCCCCTCTCCCCCTTTGCTTCCGAGTTTACCTCTAAAGGAGCATGGAAGGCAGAGGTGAGAGAAACTGGCAGTGAAATTTTTGGTTACAGAGCTGATGCCCTTCAGGAGATGCCCTCTGAAGGCCCAACATACCTGCCTCCTACTGAGCCCCTCAACTACCGACGTTTGCTTGATCGGAATGTGAACTGTAACTGGAAATATATCGTTGACAAGATCGTGTGCAACAACGACCAACAGGCTTCCATCTTTTTGCAGCAAAAGCTCAAGGTCGGAACTCCTGAGCAGAAGTATGAGATCGTGGAGGCGATTGTGGCTCAAGCATACCCTTTGATGGTTAATCGATTCGGAAACTTCCTTGTGCAGCGTTGTTTCGAGCACGGGACCCCCGAGCAGGTAATCAAGATTGCTGAAGCGATCCGCGGAAACACGCTGAATCTGTCGATGGACCCTTTTGGATGTCATGTGGTTCAAAAAGCGTTTGATTCTGTCCCAGAGGACTACAAAGCAATAATGGTTCATGAGCTGCTCCGACGCATCCCCGAAACAGTGATTCATCGATACGCGTGCCACGTTTGGCAGAAGCTTTTCGAGCTTCGATGGACCGAGTCTCCTCCTCAAATCATGAAGTATGTCAACGAGGCCCTTCGGGGAATGTGGCACGAGGTTGCTCTAGGCGAGACTGGAAGTTTAGTGGTTCAAAATATCTTCGAGAATTGCCTTGAAGAGGATAAGGTACTACTGCAAGACGCCATCTATCCTCTATTGAAGCATGCACTAACATTCGTGTGATATAGCGGCCATGCATCGAAGAGGTCCTCGCGAACATCGATATTGTTGCGCATGGGCAATTCGGCAATTGGTGCATTCAGCATATTTGCGAGCATGGAGGACCACCTGATCGAAGCCGTGCCATTGACCACGTCATTCGGTATGCTGCCGAGTACAGTACAGACCAATTTGCCTCCAAGGTTGTCGAGAAATGCCTGAAGATTGGAGGTACTGAGTTCCTTGGACGCTACCTTGACCGAGTTTGTGAAGGCCGTCGTGATAGGACTAGGATCCCACTGATTGATATCGCCAGCGATCAGTATGGCAACTACCTGATTCAATGGATTCTCAACAACGCAACACCTCAGCATCGGGAAATGGTAGCAGCTCATATTCGAAAACACATGGTCTCTCTGAGAGGGTCCAAGTTCGGCTCTCGTGTTGGGATGCTTTGCACCAATCACGCTGTCACCACCCGACCTGGTCCTGGCGTTGGGCCGGGCATCAATGGTCGAATGGGACCGGGACCTCGCTTTGGTAATGGAACTTATCGATGATCTAGAGCCAACAGTCGTTTTTGGGGAAACACCATTTCTCTCTCTTTAATCAGCAGAACTTCTTGGTATTCTTACGGACATGTTTTTCTGGCTCGAATGCCATGTCCGACGCGTTTAACTCACTATTTCATATTGCCTTCCGCTTTTCCGTCGAAGTACAAAGCCGGAGAGGATTTGTTGGCCTTTTCTTATTAACATCTTCTCATGAAGTAATTTACAAATCACTCGTCATCCTACGCTCAACAGGCTACTGCCTGATCAGGGCGCATTGGACACATCATGGTTATGGATTTTGCAATATGAGAGGACATTGCAGGCATTATTAATAGTCCTGGTGGAAAGGGAGGCATTCAAGCGCCCTGGCCCCAGGAGGGTTCGAAAATCAATGGACAAGATCGGAGAGGAGAGGACTAGGGAAAAGAAGAAAAGCATAAAAAAAAGAAGAAGAAAGCAAGTTTGGGGGCTAGTACAGTTCCTATGACCCAAATAGCTGGAATGACTCTGGCTGGGGTTGTCAGAGACGAGAATCCCAAGGTAATATTGAGCGAGTCTCGTGGAGGATCGCCTATTGTTGTTTTAAACTTAGGGCTGCAACTTGAGCACAAAAAAGCAAGCAAGTATTGAGAGTTAGAGGAAGCCTCGATTGTAGTTATCTGCGAGGCTATTAATACATATTTTTGGACTTTACCTTGTATCTGCGGGTATGACATGCACTACCTTCTCCATCAGTCATCCATACTTCAAGCTATCATGATGGCTCTATGCACGCCACAAGGCTGTGCCTACCCTCAGCTTCCATCACAGGTTTTAATGTCCTACCATATACGGCGCTCTGCGGAATGATCTTGATTTGTATGCGAAAAGAAAAGAAAAAAGAGCGAAAATTCGAATTACGGTCATGAAGTAGTGCTCTGTTGTTGATTCAAAGATTCGGCTTCAGCCTCAACAGGAGGGAACTCAACATCAAGAGCCTTGGGAATAACAGGGTTATCCGTCAATGAAGAGTTGTTGTCTCTCTCCCAGGGCTTCCGGGGCACCGTTCTTGAGCCAACTGGCTTAATTGACTAGATAGGTAGCTGGTGTGAGAGACTCACGTCTTGGCTTGCATGCTGCATGTGGATAGGATAATCGGCAAAGAGGCACTTACCGGATCTCGCACGACTGTGTTGGGTATCTGCCTGATGCCCGGGACGGGCTTTCCCTCCTGGAGGAGCTTGAGCATCTCGGCGAAGGCCATGGGATAAGAGGGCTGGTCTTCCTGGGACTGGCTCGCGGCGGCCTTCTTATCGATGAAGAGGTCGTCCTTGGGCGCGGCCTGCTGCCAGGGGAGGGAGGCGCTCTCTGCGACAGCATCCTGAGACCTGCTGTTTCTAGCGAGGTACGAGTCAGGCAGGATGTCAGGAGGCTGGTGGTCCGGGTGCTGTGAGAGCCAGGCCTGGTAGGCTGTGAAGTCGATGGTGACGCCTAGTCTCTGGGCGTAGTAGAATATGCGGGCGTGGGTTGCCATGTCCCGTGGCGATGAGCCTTGTGCGGGCTGGCCGTTGGGGTCGCCGAGCAGGGCGAAGAGCCCGGACTGGGGATCACATGGAAGGTGGTTAGCGGGATGTGGGAATCCTCACAAGCTGTGGCGGAAAGATGTGTGTCTTTTTATTGTACCATGAATGTCTTGTCTTTGGCCCATGGGTAGGAATCAAAGGCGTGGAAGATGGCATTCTGCTCTGTGAGGGAGCGGATCCGCTCAACGGCTTGAGGCGGGAGAGACATGATGTAAGGTAGGTACTCAAAGGTGAGAATGTCCTCCTGGCCGTGTAGATCGAGATGAACGGAGATATCGATATTAAGCAAGTAATATGTATGAGCTGGTGGTGTATGTAGGTGCTATTAAGGTATGGATGTGCTCTGCGGGGCTGTTGTAGTACACCGAGGCTTTGGTTCAGGTACTGTCTCTTATTCCATTTGGAAGCCAATGAATGGGGCGTGGAGCTTGAGTCCAGTTACAGCTGCTATGGCCTTGTGGAACGCTCAAAAGCCACCAGAATTCAATAGCACAAGTTCTGCAGGGGGGAGAAGGCTTCGCGCTGTCTTATGTGACCTCGGCCCTCTGCGTGCGAAGCCGACCTGGCACTTTGCATCGGTCAATGCTCGTCACAAGCCAGCAATCGGAGAGTGCTAAGTTAATGCTTGCATGCCGAAGAGCGACTCACAAGCCACAAATCCACGCCACTGGAGATTGTGGTGGGGCTATCTGCTTGGCTGAGGTTCAACTGCTAGAATAGAATGATAAAGTTCCATGGAATCACGTTGTTTCCTTTGTTTACACAAAAATCAAGCGATACCCAGGTTTGCACATTCGAAACTGTAAGAATAACGCCCTCTGGAGGGTTTCACTAGAGTAAGAAATCAGCTTGGAACAAATACTACATATCCGTACCAAAAGTCCAGGTACTTGTCCCAAAAGGGTGGCAGCCAGCTCCTACATACAACTTCCTTCAAGCTTCCCTGTCCCCATTTCCTTCTTCGCTCATTTCGACGCCACGGCCAACTCCCGATCCGACTACCTTATAAATTGTTCAACCATACAGAGGAGTTGCCGCCGTCACCGTCGTTTCAATGCAACGTGCGGCCATCATAGCGTCTCGCGTGACTCTTAGATCCGCCCTGCGAACTCGACTGCCTCTGGTCTCGCCCAAGCAGCTAGCAACAGCGCGAACGCTCTCGGCGGGATCCCGCCGCCTCTTGAGCAACTCGGCACCGAGTTCATTCAAAGCTGCGCCCAATGCACCATTGAGGTCCCCCATGTACATTCGTCGATTACCCGTCGTGCTGGGATCCGCCCTGGTTGCGGGATACGGTGCCTGGTACTCGTACAACTCGACGACGATCCCCGGCGCCGCCTCGCTCTATCGCAGCTTCTCCTTCGCCGCTACCAACCCCTCGACCGCCGCCGCTTCGCCCGTACCGACGAGGACTGTGCTGGTTGTGGGTGCGGATGAGCTAAGACAGGGCACCATCGTGGGCGACGGGCCCATCTCCAAGGAAACGAGCGGCGACGGCAGGAGAATCGTGGAGATGTTGACCCCGGAGCAAGCCTCGCAGAAACTGCGTCACCTAGAGCAGTCTTTCTCGGTCAACAGGGGCCACGGTGTTACGCGGTACGACCTCGTCCAGCTCCCCAGCAACGATCCCATTGAAGACGACCACGCCGAGAAGATTGTCCAGGTCCCTAGCCGGTCGTCGGCTGCCGATGCCGGAGATCAGAATGAATGGATGTTCTGGGGGGTCTTTGATGGCCATTCGTAAGTCTACCTTGCAGTGTCTGATATGTAGGCATGGGCGGCGCTGATTTTGAGGTTCATCATAGTGGTTGGACTACTTCTGCGACGCTTCGCCAGAACCTCATCTCATACGTTGCGACAGAACTCAACAATACGTACAAGGCTGTGGCCGAGGGCACCCCCTCGTCTGATGCCATCGAGCTCGCTATCAAGACTGGCTTCAACCGCCTAGATACCGAGATTGTCCACAACAGCGTCGAGAAGGTCTTCAAGGCCAGCTCCAAGACCGTGGCTGCAGAGCTGCTGCAGCCTGCCCTGTCCGGCTCGTGTGCGCTGCTGTCTTTCTATGATAGCCGAACCAACCTTCTGCGGGTAGCTTGCACCGGTGATTCAAGAGCGGTTCTAGGACGTCGATCCGATTCCGGGAAGTGGACCGCAACTGCTCTGTCCGAGGACCAGACCGGCAGCAACCCAAATGAGGCGAACCGCATGCGAAAGGAGCATCCTGGTGAGGAGCACGTTGTGCGCAACGGCCGTGTTCTCGGTGGCCTGGAGCCCACCCGCGCCTTTGGCGACGCTGTCTACAAGTGGAGCCGCGAGACATCCTTCAAGCTCAAGGAGAAGTTCTTTGGGCGTACGCCTTCTCAACTCCTCAAGTCCCCCCCGTACGTGACAGCCGAGCCCGTGGTTACCACGACCAAGGTCACGCCTGAGAAGGGTGACTTCCTTGTCCTGGCCACCGATGGCTTGTGGGAGATGCTGACAAACGACGAGGTCGTCGGGCTCGTCGGCCAGTGGATCGAGAGCCAGGCCGCCGGGCGACAGACAAAGTCCCAGTTCGAGATAGCATGGTCCAAGATCATGGGCACTCAGGGGAACGGCCCCCTTCCTGTTGAGAAGGGTGCTGACACTGGGGTCGAGGGTCAGAAGACTCCCATCCGCCTTCATCAGTGGGGCGTTGACCCCGAGGCGAAGAACAGGTTTGTCGTGAAGGACCAGAATGTGGCAACCCACCTCGTCCGTAATGCCCTTGGAGGTACCAACGACGAGCAAGTGTGCGCTCTGCTCACCCTACCGGCCCCCTTTTCCAGAAGATATCGGTATGTCAACCCCTCTCGCATTCTCACTGCATAGATTCTTTGTATGCTAACGAATCGATGTTTTAGCGACGATCTCACAGTCCAGGTAATCTTCTTTGGCAATGGAGAGAAGACGGGTGAGGTCTTGGTAAACCCCGAGGCTACCTCTCCAGACGAGAACCCCAAGGCCAAGCTGTAACGGGCAATACAATCTGCCATTCACGGCGTTCACTGGATATTATCGGAAAGGGCGTGTCATCTTTACTCAACCAGGTTCTAGAAACATGTATATAGATAGTTGCCAGCAGCTAGAATCAATGCTCAACATTTACGTTCTCGATTTTGTGTTTCTCTCTGTGGGGTGTATAATTCAAATCAATTGATCCGCAATGTGAATGCGTGTGGGAAATAAGACACGCTGCGAATAGTGTGCTCTATGCTATAAATGGCGTGAGCCATGTATGGGCATCGCTTGAGTCTAGTGACATCTCTCTAGTGGGAATATACATATATCCTGCTTGATCTCATGTCTCTTCCAGGACATGATAGGATAGCCGTGCCATTGCCTAGTGATAACCTCTCCGCCCCGGTCATTCAAGGCCTGTTCCCAAGCAACCATTTCTTGAACGCTAGCGGGGGAAGCCAATGCCGTGTCTGCTAAGTGTGAGCGAGATACCGCATCAGGGGGGTTGCAGATTCTCAAAACCAAGGCGTGGACATCGTACTTATTCAAGGCCCTCCGTACTTAATATCTCACTCAAGGGAGATCTCCAGGGAGGTCCAGAGCGTGTGGTTCGGAACCGTCGGTTCTCGGCGCGTTCCCCTCAACCGAGCAATACCAATCCATCGGAGGGGCTTTCCAAAACGAAGGTTTCATCCATGTGAGTAACAAGGGGCTCATGGGCCATCAAAGCCATCTGGGCGAGCGAGGCGGCCAAGCGGTTTCCTGGTCGAAATCCTCGCCGCGTTGGCCGAGCACCTTGACGAGGCAGTAGAGAACGAAGAGCGCGCTAGGCTCGACATGGGTGAATGCGATGGTGCAGTAGACGATGTGGATGAGGAAGACGGCATGGCTTATGAAGAGTGACCCGAGGTTGTCCAGTGGCATCTTTGTAGCGGATATCTACTATTCTGGGTGGTGGGGTGAGATTCGAGTCCGCAGTATTATTGACGCGCGGGATGGAGTGAGGGCGTTCAATCCATTGAGGGCGGTCCCCCTTCTCGTTTTCGTGAACGGGGAAGTCTCGCCTTGCTCGTCTGTTCTGAGGTTGCGGGTGCCAATGAGGGAAGGAAGGAAGGTGTGAGAATGGGATGACTGAGAAGGAGGCACGTGCCGGTGTGTTCACCTCACAACGCCGTGTATGCGATCATAAATTAATGAGAGGGTAATGTCGACGAGAGATTAGAGGTCACCGCAACAGATGCAAGCGAAATAATAATCGCCTCTTCAGCGCCAAGGGTCAGCAAACGCACGTTGAGCGGCGCATGGCCCTTGAGACTTTTAAAAGTGATTTGGAACCGGGATGGGTCTAAGATGAATTGGCGGGAAACGGGGTGCAATAGGTAATTAAAGGCTAGTAATTAATATGCATCTTAGCAAGGCTAAAGAGTCCTCGAACTTTTTGGTCAAACACACAATTATTCCCGAACAGGCGGGGGCGATCAGCCAGGGGAGAGAGGGGAAAGAATGGAGAGCATTGTTCGGATGAATCAATTCAATTGCAAGCTTCGAGATAAACAAAGACAGTGCAGAGTACATGCTTGAAGATTCGATACGCTAATAACTCCACAGCGGATGCAAGGTACGCCGGTGGAAGGACACAGACGGACGCCGACACGCCTCACGGAGCTTCAACTGATCTCCACGTGACTGCGGGATGCTCATGCTTAGCTGTCCATTTGCATGTTCAACAGACATGCCCAACCAGGTACTTGCAGTCTCGGTCAAGCTACCTACCTTTCGCAAAGCATCCCGTCGGGCCGGATCCAGCGCTTTATTCAAGCAGACGCAATTGCTGGAGCTTTGCTTAAGGCAATAAATTCTTGAGTTGCGCCCTGCCCGTTGCTTTTGGTGACATCACAAGCAGCTTCCAGCGCAGTCTTGCGACAAGTGGCTTCCTGCCCCAAGGCATGCTCCAAATCAAGCTGCAGCCCATTGCACCCGGCGTTCACACAGCAGCGACATTGATTCTCTAGTCAGGGTTCCCTAGACTTCTAGCTATCATGTCGTTCACCAACACTCCTGTCACTCGGCTGATCCTGCTAGGCATCGTATCAGCATCAACCCTGGCGAGCCTGCTCGACATCAAGCATTACTTTTACATACTGGTCGATACACACGTATGGCGCTACCGCCAACTCTGGCGCTTTCTCATATATCAATTATGCTACACCAATTCCACGGAGGTCC